AGGTATCTCCTATGCTCATCCCTATTTACTTAGAGATAGACTTGGGGGCTCGATCCCTACATCATTAGCTTACCTAGCCTAAGAGTCACCACTATTTGACTCTTTTCAATATATTTTCCCACACACTTAGCCCTTGTGGCCTAACTTTAGTGTCACTATCACACACATCATAGATACATGACCAAATATACTTCCCTTAGGAACCCTTTGTCATGGAATCTTAACACAACGTTGAAGCATGCCTTTTCATATCAACAACACTCATCAATCAACCATCATTGCATCACAAAGTATGAAGTGCTTAGCCTCTGTGCCTAAGTTACCCAAATACTTTCATCGAGTCAACTAGGATAGTCTAAGACGTTACAATCCGTGTACTATGAGAGACAACGTTAACGGATTAAGCTCATTCAACATGCATCTTCAAAAACTTCGCTTCTTTCTTTTTCGCGTCTTTCTTTTTAGGGAGAAAATCGGTACCCTCCACAAAAATGACGGAAATTTTTTTCTTTTTTGCATTTTCGAGTCGCACGGTCACAATACAATGCACACATGGGTCATGAGTCACACGTGTCATTTCACTTTGAGTCGAGTCAACCTCGAGTCAATCACAGCGAGTCAAGTTTATAACTTGAGTCGTGTCGTGTCAATGAGTCAAGAAACACTAAGCCTTAGGTTAACCCTAAAAAATTAAAGAGATTAACAAAGTCCTATAGTCAAAGATAAATACAGGTGTATCCCAGCGGCAGCAAGAGCAGAATTGGGAAGACCCTACTCCAGCGCCAGAAAACGACATCCAGCGTCTGGCAGTGTAGTCGTCGTTCGAAGTGCGCCTACGTTAAAGAATGTTGTGAATATGCTTGACACTCATAGGAAGTGGGAATTGACATATACGATTAGGACAAGGAAAGTAGGGAGCCGCCAACAAGTTTTTAAGGAACTTATAAACCGTTAACGGATCATAAAAAGGCAACCACGACAAGGGACAACGATAGGAAACAACGATTGACCCGTGAAGGTTACACCCCATTCATAATCCATGAGATTACTAACTCAATATGGTTCGGAACCACGAAAGGAGGATCGGGGATGATGGTACGAAGTGAGTCATGGGGTCACATTCGCCCGTATTGGCCTCTACTCGATTCTTATAGTGAAAAATAATTCCTGCGATCTCAAAGGCATACAAATAGAGATTCAATTCGCTCCAAACTATTATTAAGCTAAATTGGTTTAATATTAATGCAACACATAATTCTAAAATATTGTGATCACTTGAATTAATAACAAGATTAAAAAAGGAACCTAAATCGGTTGTCCAATTTATCTTATTAGGCGTGATTTTCAATTACATATTCCTTTTAAACATGCAATATGGTGATCATAAATAATAATAGAACAAACATCAATATTGGAAGCAATTTTACCATAATTCCAACAATATAAAATCGTTAGAAAAATAATAGAAATAAAAGGAACATAATTCTTTCTTTGATTCTGTTTGCTTGCAACTACAAAATAATAAACGAGTTAGTACCTTCAAGGAAATAATAATAAAACGATAATTAAATTAAATTAAATGAAGTAGAGTTGATTTGGGGCCAAACCCTCAAACAGTTCTACCTTTCACGCCTTGGCTTAAGGATAGAACCACGAGTAAAGTATGGACTCCTGGAGTGCTTGAAAAAGGAATTTTGAAAGAAGAATGGTAGGCTAGTGTTTAGGCTAGAGCATAGAAGAGAGAAAAAACTTGAGAATTAATTGATGCCCCATACATCAGAAATGAGGGGGTATTTATAGAAAAAATGTGCTGAGGGAACACACGGAACCCTAAAATGATAAAAAAAAACCCTAAAAAAGTATCCCGCGACACGGCAAAGTGTATCGTGACACGGGAAATCCCACCGTCGGACGGGAAAAATTCCCGTGACACGGTGTACTTTTGTGTGAAGCGGGAAATATATGCTGAATCAAGCATTTTTGGGTTGATAGAGCTTAAATCCCCCGGGGCTAAAACGCATGTAGAACACACACGTTTTTTCAGAAAAATCAAAGGAAGTTGACTGTGAGAAGATAAAACAAGCCACCGGACTGATTTTAGGACTGTCGTGACACGGCAGAGATTCTCATGCCACGGTACTGCACACCGTCAGACGATGCACTGTACCGTGACACGGCAGATTCTGCCGTGGAACGGCAGTCAGAAAATCTACCCTGTTTTACTTCATACGCAATCAAGTTATTCAATTTCTCCTACGGGACAGACCTAAATGCGACGTTAAAACGTCTATGCATATGCAAAAATGCCAAATTAATCACAGGAATATACTTGCATGTTGATTCTTCAGATTAAGATCTAAATCCATATACCTGCACAAATTAAAACAACCAAAATGAATCGATTAACATGAATCAGTTCAAAAACCCAGAAAATCGAAAAAAAAGAAAAGAAAAACCCATAAAATGAAAATGAAAATTAGTTCAAAAAAGAAAATGAAAACGAAAATCAATTCAAAAAAGAAAATGAATCGAAAAAAATAAAAAAAAAAAACCCAGAAAATCAGTTCAAAAACCCAAAAAAAAAACCCAGAAAATCGGGAAAAAAAATCAGTTCAAAAACCTAGAACATCAATTAAAACCCAGAAAATAAAACCCATAAAATCAATTAAAACCCAGAACATCAATTAAAACCCAGAAAATAAAAAAAAATTCGACAAAAAAACCCAGAAATTAAAAAAAATCGAATTAAAATAAGTTTAAATATTGAATAACCGAACTAGAAAATCGAAAATCACTTAAAAAAACAAATTTAAATCGATTAAAATAAAAAATAAATCGATTAAAATAAAAGAAAATTCAAAAAGCAGTTAACAACCCAGAAAATAAAAAAAAAATATCGAATTAAAATCAAGAAATTATACCTTAACCTTGCTCATGCATGTGTTCGTGGTGGATTAAACCAAAACGTTTTTTGAAGAAACCCATAAAAAATTTCGAAGACTCTCATCAAATTTGTGGCGACAGCTTTGCGGTGTTGTTGTTGTTGTTGTTGTTGTTGTTGTTGCGGTGGTGTTGTTGTTGTTGTTGCGGAGATGCTCGAAGAGAAAGAGAAGAGATTGGGAATGAAGGAGAGCTAGAGGAGAGAGAAGGGAGAGTAGAGGAGAAGGGAGAGTAGAGGAGAGAGAAGAGGCGGAGTGATTTAGGGTTATAAGTAATAAGTAAATAATGGCTGACTTTTTTTTAAAAAATAATTAAAGGTCCGGTTCACAAAGGCACCGGTTCAAACCGGTGGCCTTTATGATTTTGGCACCGGTTTGAAGTGAACCGGTGCCTTTTACTCTGGTTCAGCTTCCCACCAATTTTGTATGCCATTTTTGGCACCGGTTTGGACTGAACCGGTGCCAATTAGGGAGTGCCTTTTTGATATTTTCTACTAGTGAAGGAAATAATAATAAAACAATAATTAAATTAAATTAAATAAAGTAGAGTTGATTTGGGGCCAAACCCTCAAACAGTTCTACCTTTCACGCCTTGTCTTAAGGACAGAACCACGAGTAAAGTATGGACTCCTAGGAGTGCTTGAAGAAGGAATTTTGAAAGATGAAGGGTAGGCTAGTGTTTAGGCTAGAGCATAGAAGAGAGAAAAAACTAGAGAATTAATTGATGCCCCGTACATGAGAAATGAGGGGGTATTTATAGAAAAAATGTGCTGAGGGAACACACGGAACCCTAAAATGATAAAAACCCTATAAAAGTATCCCTCGACACGGCAAAGTGTACCGAGACACGGGAAATCCCACCGTCAAACGGGAAACATTCCCGTGACACGGTGTACTTTTGTGTGACGCGGGAAATATATGTTGAACGGGGAAGAAAACGCGTTAAGGGTTTACGCGGAAAGGACACGGAAACCCCCGTGTCACGGCAGGTGTCCCGTGTCACGGGGAACCCCACCGTCAGACGGGGAAGTTTCTCGTGACACGGTGGACTATTGCCGTGACGCGGGAGTTTTCAGTCTGCTTTTCCGTCTAAATTCATTTTTAACCCTAATTTCGTTCATCATTTTAAGTGCTGATTGATAATTTCGGGCCTATTTTTTTATTATTATTTGGGCTAAAATAAAAAAAAAAAGTAAATAAAATAAATAAAAGGTTTGGGCCAAAATAAATAATAAAACAATAAAATAAAAAGGTTTGGGATGAAATAAAAAATCTATGCTTTGACCAAACATCAAGACTGATCCATGGACTATTCAAAAATTGAATTTAATTAAATATGATTTTTTAAGCACTCTCGGGATTAAATATTGAACCCGACCAATAGTGATGGTGAAAGGTTGTTCATCATCGGGTTTGGTTTTGGGGAGACATTTTTAGGTGTCTACAGGCAGTAGGTTTCAGTGCCTGGCGCTAGATCTCAGCGTCTGGCGACAGAGCTCGAAGCCTCTCAAGACGGTTATTTTAACCTCTTTCGGCAATATCGGGTTCCTTGGTACGCAAGTTAGCCCCTATAAGCAATTTGACATGATTAAGTAGTCGGCTTGATTACAATCGCAATAAGTGATCGACCTGACGAAAGATCGTCTTACTTAGCTTAAAGCGCCTAAACATTGGCTCATCGCAAGACACCGACATACTGGTTCATAAACCGCAGAAGTACCAACATAATGGTTCACAATCAGCAAAAGCGCCGACGTACTGGCATAGCAGAAGCAAAGTTCAAGCGAGCTTTAAAGATCGACAAGCGTTGGTGTTCAGAAGTTTTCTTCGGAATATTATCACAACAATAATTCATATCATCAAAAAGCTCTTTTCACTAGTAGATAAACGTACATTTGCGTCGCCTAATTTGCGTCACTCATACAAAAGAACGAAGCAAATGCTTTTTTTTTATTATCATTAAAAGTGATTTGCGTCGCACATTAGCCAAGAAGCGATGCAAAAGTCAGATACATTTTAGCTTTCTGTTATTTGCGTCGCTCTTAATTATTGAAGCGACGCATATAATAATGTTATTTGCGTCCCTCATTTAATGACAAGTGACGCAAATGAGTGATAGAATTAAAATGCGTCACTTCTTTAACTAATGAGCGATGCAAATAATAATGTGCAGCATTATACTTTTAATTATTTGCGTCACTTATTATTAGTTGAGTGACGCAAATAACGCATTTGCATTAAGGTTATTTCTGATTCACTTGCTAGCTGCCTCCCTTTTACTACTATCTTCCAAGACAACGATTTCCAAGAGCTAAACACCCAGAAATTCGAGCAAAAATCACCCAGAAATTCAAGGAAATTCGACCCTAAAACCCCCAAAAAATTGACCCAAAACCCCCCAGAAAATCGACCCAAAAATCCCCAGAAATTCGACCAAAAAAACCCCCACAAATTCAACAACCAAACCGCAATCAAATCAACATCCATAATCGGAAAAAATTCAGAGCTACAATCCCCCAATTTCGAGCAAAACACCAAAAAAAAACCCCAGAAAAATTGAGCAAATTCTGGGCATTAATTCGAGCACATTCGATCAAAAAAATCAAGCATTAATTCGAGCATTAATTTGAGCAAATTTGAGCAAAAAAATCGAATCAAAACCCCATTAATTCAAACCCTATAAACCCCAAAAAATTCGAGCAAAATTACTGTCCTCATAGTCGAGCAATGTTGGGAATTTTTGAGTTTGTGAAGTCGATTTCACCTAAGGTAAGATTGCTTCTATTTATATCCAATATTTTCAAAATTACTATACAGTGTTGTGGGTTAAATTTTCTGTTTTAAGATTGTTTCTGTTTTATGTTAAATTTTCTGTTTTAAGTTAAATTTTCTGCGCTTTTTACAATGCCCAACAGCCAAGATGGGCATTCTGATAATTGATCCTTTTTCATAAAATAAATTTTCTCTTACTGTGAGTTATGGGTACCAAATTGTTCAACTGTTTGCTTTGATAGGTTGCTTATGAGTACAACATGTCAACTGATACCAACCCATAGCAGTTCGACCGTGTTCGCTCCTCCAAATCAACTGCATTTAGGCTCGACATTGTTGAATTTGTGAAGTCGATTTCACCTAAGGTAAGATTGCTTCTTAATTATGCGGAAGTGAATTCCACAAGTTGCTTGAGGTTCTGGTTGTGGACAAACGATTAAGGCGGTAGTACCTATCACCACAAGTTGGTTTGGAATAGTAAGCATAAAGTTTTTTACTTTGTTTTCTTTGATGGGGCTGCTGTAATTTTTGTTAAGTAATGTGTATTCGTCAAACTCACTACTTTCATTTTTTCAGGCAAGTAAAACTACCCATACATGCCAAGAAAATTCATCTAACTTCTAAATATTTCACTGGGAATCCGTGAGAGAAATCATTCCCATCTGTGCTCAATTTATCTGGTTTGTTTTCTTGTATCAAAGGTGATTCTTGGGATCAGTTTGTTTTTTTAAGGGGGTTTTTTTTCTTGTTAATATAAGAAATATTTTATAGTATTGAAATGAAAAAAGCACATCTTTGGCACACTTACTATAAATGACTACTAATGTTTTGGATAAAGCTTGTCATTCGAAAGCTAATATAAATTGTCATTTATGTTACATTGTTACGAGTATCACATATTACCAGTTCTTGAAGAAGTGGAAAATTTAAACATGCTGCACTCTTTGATGTTAAGACTATTAAGTGGTGGCTAGTTGGCTACACTTGAATACTCTTATTCATCTTTGCTTCCATGCCATTTCAGATTGTAGATGTGTGGTCTTGTGGGGTAACTTTGTCTGTAATGTTGGTCGGGGCTTACCCATTTGAGGACCCTGAGGAACCCAAAAAATTTTGCAAAACAATACATGTAAGTCATTTACTATTTTATATACCAAGGTGGTGGCTTCTTTGGTTGCCTGTCTGACCCTTAGTGATTTCTGCTATGTCACTAAATAATTATCTTAAATTATAGCATGGTGATACATTAGATAGTTTTGCCTCACTTTAGATAGTAGTTGTTGCTGTGTACTCTAATCATTCATCTTTCCCATGACCATACTTTGAGCACTATGGCCCATTTTTTTTTTATCTTCCTTTTTTTTCCAAGGTCAATAGTTATAATTAGTGGAGTTTTGGTTTATGAGTGATTTTATCGATATTTTATAGTGAGTCATTTTATGCGATATTTGATGTCTAATGATAATTACATCAATTAAGAGAGACTAGCATTGCCATTTTGTGTTGCGTCTTGCGTGCAACAGGATATCCACAAGACCATAACCTTCTTAAGATCAAGAAACATTGAATATTAATTTATTCACAAATTTATCATAGATTATTAAGGCTTGTGTGTATAAATACTACCCTTTTTCTTGTTCAAGAATATGTGAATTTTCTTTTTTTTTTTGGCGGTATGTGGTTGGTTAATACTTAATATCTTATTACAATCATTTTGCATAAGATTCAAGAACTAATTTTTTCAGTTTATTATTTGGAGTTTAAAGCTGTTATAGGTCCTACTGTTGGAGTTATGAGAGCAGGAGGCTTCAAGATTGGTGAATCGCTGGGACTATTGACAACATTGTCTAGTGCAAGCTTTACACCGTATACCAAGGAGGAGATAAATGAGATTCGAGATATTTGGGCAGAGTATTTTATATGTAATGTTGAACTTTAGATTTACACTTAGCGCATGTTGGACTCTTGTTTTGGATTATAGGCTTGACATGAATGATTTTGGTTAATTAGTGTTGGGATGATGAGTATTGTTGTGCGACAGCGGAAGCAAAGGTCGTAAACAAACAAGAAAACAATAAAGAAATTCAATGCAAACAATAAGAACAACACCAAGAATTTACGTGGTTCACTATCGATGTGATAGCTACGTCCACGGGCACCGAGATCGAATGATTTCACTATAAACTGCAAAGATTACAAAGATGATTCTTGTATTTCTCAAGAACGGCTCTCACTCTGTCTCTCTTCACCCTAATACTAATATTAGGGAGGTTTTATATTAATCCCTAAAATAAAAGATACTTGGGCAAAAAGATAACATAAAAGATAACTTTAAATCGTAAAATCCGCGTCTCCGCATTTTTCCTTCTCCGCCCGGTCAGACCGGGCAAGGTCTGCCCGATCGGGCGCGAGAAGAAAACTCCATACGAATGCTTCAACGTATCCAACCCCCACCGCCCGGTCAGACCGGGCAAGGTCTGCCCGATCGGGCGAAGGCTCGCCCGGTCGGGCGAAGGCTCGCCCGGTCGGGCGCGAGAGCAGCTTCTTCAACGAATTTGCCAGGCACCTCTTCTTCTTCCGCCCGGTCAGACCGGGCAATGTCCGCCCGATCGGGCGGACAAAGCTACGAAGTACGAGTCACCTAATATACTTATCAACAATCTCCACCTTGACGAGAACTCGTAGTCAGCAAACGACCCCATCAAGACATAGTGAAAAAACATCTCAAGCCAAACCCGATGCAGGACTCATGCATAAGCCATACATCCCGATAAGTCTTCAACCAAGACCCATCACATACTCGTCTCCAAGTATAACAACTCATAATGCTCCACCTGCATCACAAGCCCCGGGCAAGCTCCACCTTAATGCCAACACACCTACACCAGGAGCTCCCCAACTTCGCCCCTCAGGGCCTACTACATCACGTAGTAATCAATATTTAGCAAGTCTAAGCAATGTTTAAACTTGCTAAACGGAACAGGCTTAGTGAAGAAATCAGCCGGGTTGTCAGCAGTCCCAATCTTCTTCACCTTAATCCTCTTGTCAGTACGCAAGAAATGATACCTGACATCAATGTGCTTCGTCCGATCATGGTGTACTTGATCTTTAGCTAAGCAAATCGCACTTAGACTATCACAATATACTGTAGCAAAATCCTGTGCAATACCCAGTTCACCTACTAGGCCTTTGAGCCAAATAGACTCCTTAGCTGCAGAAGTTAAAGCCATATACTCAGCTTCAGTAGTTGACAACGTAACTGATGACTGCAATGTAGACTTCCAACTAACCACAGAACCACCCAAAGTGAACACATAACCAGTCACAGACCTCCTGGTATCCACATCAGCTGCATAATCAGAATCACTGTACCCAGTGACCAAGCATTCCCTACCATTCCCGTACACAAGACCAATATCAGCTGTCCCTCTCAGGTAGCGAAAAATCCTTTTCACCCCTTGCCAGTGTTCCCTCCCAGGTCGAGCCATAAACCTGCTTACAACACTAACAGCATGCGCAATATCCGGCCTAGTACAGACCATAGCATACATCAAACAACCAACCGCGTTTGCATATGGAACTCTAGACATATAAGACAACTCCTCCTCTGATTGAGGTGACATAGACAAAGACAACTTACAACTAACAGTAGTTGGCGTACTTATAGGCTTCGATTTTTCCATCCCAAAACGAGACAGAATCTTTTCAATGTAGCTTTTCTGAGTCAAGAAAAGCTTACCTCTAGCCCGATCCCTGTAGATCTCCATACCCAAAATCTTCCTAGCTGCACCCAAGTCTTTCATGTCAAACTCCGAGTTAAGCATCTCCTTTAATCTAGCAATATCAGATTTATTCTTTGTGGCAACCAACATGTCATCAACATATAACAAAAGATAAATCATGGAACCATTATCCAGCTTACTATGATACACACAGCAATCATATGAATTCCTGTCAAAACCTTGTGAAACCATAAAAGAATCAAACCTTTTGTACCACTGTCGGGGGGATTGCTTAAGTCCATACAATGACTTTAGCAATCTGCAGGCATAGTGTTCCTTTCCAGGAACTTCGAATCCTTCGGGCTGCTTCATCAGAATCTCCTCCTCCAAATCGCCATGAAGGAAAGCCGTTTTAACATCCAACTGCTCCAGCTCAAGATCAAAATGTGCTACAATTGACAATAACACACGGATAGAAGTATGTCGAACCACAGGTGAGAATATCTCAACAAAATCAACCCCTTCTACCTGACTGAACCCCTTAGCAACTAGCCTAGCCTTAAAACGTATTTGCTCAGTTTCCGACAACCCTTCTTTCTTCTTGTAAATCCATTTACAACCCACAAGCTTCCTCCCTTCCGGTACTTTTACCAGTTCCCACACTCTGTTCTTGTAAAGAGACTGCATCTCTTCACCCATTGCGGCAAGCCATTGCGCAGACTCACTACAACTAATTGCTTGTTTATATGTGGCAGGTTCAAATGACTCTACATCATCAGCTACACTCAATGCATAACCTGTCATCGCATCAACACAGCAATTTCTTCCCTCCATCTCTTCAATCAATCTAACAGGCTTCTTGATAACTCGTTTAGGCATCTCAAGAATGGTGTCAGGTTGACTAGATGACCCCTGATTAGATTGCTCCACCTCATCCCCAGAGTTAGAATGAGTAGGAGTAATCTCAGGTTCAGGAGTACCCGGCACTGGAACATCAGCATCATCATCAATATATTGTACCCGAGGTAAATCAGCAATGGTAGACTGATGTACCTCAAGTACCCCATCTGTCTGTAATAAATTGTCTCCTTCCCTTCTCAAATCTGAAATCTCTGCATTTTTAATTGAATACATGGTGTTTTCATCGAAAGTAACATCCCTACTAAGAATGACCCGACCCTCCGAAGGTGAAAAAATTCTAAACCCCTTCACACCATCCCCGTACCCAACAAAACACCCCTTCTTGGCTCGTGGATCCAGCTTACCCTCAATAACATGATAATAAGCAACACAACCAAAAATCTTCAAATTCGAAAAATTAGGCAACTTACCACTCCAGATCTCAAACGGAATCTTGGAATCAATTCCAGAATGAGGACCCCTATTAATGACATAACAAGCTGTTAACACAGCTTCACTCCAGTACCTCCTCCCAAGCCCTGCATTAGAGAGCATGCATCGGACTCTCTCTAGCAGTGTCTGATTAACCCGTTCTGCTACACCGTTCTGCTGTGGTGTCTTCCTGACAGTATGATGCCGACCTATACCCTCATCTGCACAGAACTGATTAAACTCGTCTTTGCAAAACTCTAGCCCATTGTCCGTTCGTAGCTTCTTGATCTTCCTTCCTTGTCGATTTTCCACCAAAGCTTTCCATTGCTTGAAAACTTTGAAGGCCTCATCCTTTGACTTAAGCAACCTAAGCCATGTGTATCGGGACTTGTCATCAACAAATGACACAAAATAGTGGTAACCTCCCATACCTTCAACTCTAGATGGACCCCAGCAATCTGAATGGATGTAATCGAGCACTGCATCAGTAATGTGAGCACCCTTGCTGAACTTTGACCTGTGTTTCTTACCAAACACACAATGCTCACAAAATTCAAGGTTGGCAACCTTGACCCCGGATAGAAGACCCCTCTTGGACAATAGCTGCATCCCCTTCTCCCCCATATGACCAAGCCTCATGTGCCAAATCTTAGTCATCTCCTGGTGAGATACAGATGCGCAAACCGCAGAACTAGGCAGTGTAACACCCTCAAAAACATAGAGGGTGTTCCTTTTGATACCCTTAAGTACCAACTCAGAACCTCTGAAAATACACAACTCCCCATCTGAAAACACACCATTGTACCCCAATTCATCCAGGGTACCCAATGAAATCAGATTCTTTCCTAAAGCAGGAACATGCCGTACATTAGTCAAAGTTAACCTCCGCCCATCAACAGTCCTCAACCTCATGGAACCAATACCTGTGACCTTACATGGAGCATTGTTACCGACTATAACCATACCCCCATTGCGAGGTTCATATGTATCAAACCAATCTCGACGTGGACACATATGGAACGAACACCCCGAATCTAGAACCCAGTTATCAGATAAATCATCAGACCTAGCAGAACTGACTAATGCTAAATCTTCCTCTGAATTATAGCTCTCATTCGGTTTCTCTTCAACTACAGCAGCCTGGGACTTGTTTTTCCTCACCGGACAATTATTCCTAAAGTGACCCGGTTCTTTACAGTAATAACATGTTTTAGTAGTAGTTTTACTAGATCCATCCTTGCCGTTTCCAGCACCCGACCCAGCATTGTTCCCCTTGTTAAACCCCTTATTCTTTTTAGACTTTCCGGACTTAACAAACAACCCACTACCATTATCCCCATTATCACTCGTAGCTTTCATTCTGAGTTCCCTAGTATGAAGTGCTGCCTTCACTTCTTCTAAGGTTATAGAATCCTTACCAACAACAAAAGACTCTACAAAATTCTCAAAGCTAGACGGTAGAGATACAAGTAAAATCAACGCAGCATCCTCATCATCAATTTTAACATCTAAATTACGTAAATCAAGCAAAATAGAGTTAAGTTTTTCTAGATGTTCCCGTAAGGAAGTACCTGACTGCATCCGGAGGCTAAACAACCGCTGTTTCAGTAATAATTTGTTGGTCAACGACTTAGTCATATACAATGACTCCAGCTTCAGCCACAATCCAGCCGCCGTTTCCTGATCAGCAACCTCCGTGATGATTTGATCATCAAGACTAAGTAATATGGTAGAGTGTGCCTTCTCTTCCATAACTTCTAACTGCGAGTCAGTCGGTCCGTCTCCTGACTCCGAAGTAGTACTCTTTGGAGCCAACGGACGCCATATCTGCTGTTGTTTTAACAGAGCCTTCATCTTAATTTGCCATAGCCCGAAACTATTTTTCCCGGTAAACTTCTCAATTCTTATTGTTGAATCTCCTGCCATTGTTATCTTCAAGAAACTCTCCAAGGATTGAACCTGGCTCTG